GATACAGAAATAGAAACAGAACAAGAAATACTAACAGAACCACAAACAGAAACAGAACCAAAAACAGAAATAGAAAGAGAATCAGAAACAGAATCAGAATCAGAAACAGAATCAGAAACAGAATCAGAAACAGAACAAGAAACGTAAACATAAACAGAACCTGAAACAGAAATAAAAACAGAAACAGAGCTAGAAATAGAAACAGAAACAAAAACAGAATAAGAACCAGAAACAGAATGATATACAGAGCTAGAAAAAGAGACAGAAACAGAACAAGAAACAGGGCCAGAACCAGAAACAGAACCAAAAACAGAACAATTAACAGATTTGGAAAATAGAAACAGAACCAGAAACAGAGCTAGAAAAAGAAATAGATAAATAAAGAAAAACATAACAAGAAACAGAAACAGAACCAGAAAGAGAAACCGAACCAGAAAAATAAACAAAAACAGAACACGAAACAGAAAACGAAACCAAAACCAAAACCGAAACAGAAACAAAAACAGAAACAGCAACAGAAACAGCAGCAGAACCAGAAACAGATACAGAAACAGAATCAGAAACAGAAACAGAACAAGAAACAGAAACATAAACAGAACCTGAAACAGCACAAGAAACAGAACAAGAAACAGGGCCAGTACCAGAAATAGAACCAAAAACAGAACAATTAACAGATTTGGAAAAAGAAACAGAACCAGAAACAAAAACAGAGCCACAAACATAAACAGAAGCAGAACCTGAAACAGAAACAGAAACAGAAACAGAGCTAAACAAGAAACAGAAACAGAAAGAATAACAGAATAAGAACAGAAACAGAAAAATAATCAGAATCAGAGCCAGAAACAGAGCTAGAAAAAGAAATAAATAAATAAAGAAAAACAGAACAAGAAGCAGAAACAGAACCAGAGAGAGAAACCGAACTAGAAAAATTAACAAAAACAGAAACAGAACACGAAGCAGAAAAAGAAACCGAAACCGAAACAGAAACAGAAACAAAAACAAAAACAGAAACAGAAACACGAACAGAAACAGAAACAGAACCAGAAACAGAAAAAGACCCAGAAACAGAACCAGAAACGGATAGAGAAACAGAAACAGAAACAGTACCAGAAACAGAAACAGAAACCAAAACTGAAAAAGAACCAGAAACAGAAATAGAAACAGAACCAGAATCAGAAATAGAAAAATATAACGAAACAGATAGAGAAACAGAAACATAATTAGAAAGAGAAACAATTCATTAAACGAAAGAGGATAGGAAACATAAACAGATACAGAAATAGGAATAGAACAAGAAACATAAACAGAAACAGAACCAAAAACAGAAATAGGATAAGAATCAGAAAAAGAAACCGAAACAGAATCAGATACAAAAACATAAAGAGAACGAGAAACAGTAACAGTAACAGAAATAGCATTTAGAACAGAAAATGAAAACGAGCTAGAAATAGAAACAGAAACAAAAACAGGATAAGAACCAAAAACTGAAACAGAAAAAGAAACAGAAACAAAAACAAAAACAAAAACAAAAACAGAAACAGCAACAGAAACAGAACTAGAGACAGAAACAGATACAGAAACAGAAACAGCTCAGGAAACAGAAACAAGATATAAACAGAACCATAGACAGAAACAGAAACAAAAAAAGAACCAGAAACAGAATCAGACACAGAAACAAAACCAGAAACCAAAACAGAGCAAGAAACAGAAAGAGAAAGAGAAACACAACCCGAAAATTAACAAAAACTGAAACAGAAACAGAGCTAGAAATAGAAATAAAAACAAAAACAGAATAAGAACCAGAAACAGAAATTGAAACAGAACAAGAAACAGGACCAGAACCAGAAACAGAAACAGAACCCAAAACAGAACAATCAAGAGAATTGGAAAGAGAAACAGATTCAGAAACAAAAACAAAGCCAGAAATAGAAACAGACACAGAA